ACAAGCAAGTCGAGAGCTCTCGAACGATTCCTGGCCGATCCAAATCGGGTACAGAGAAGTGGGGATCGAGGCGAAAGCAGGAAGGCGGATCTTCCAAGTCAGAGCTCCCGAGGCGAATGGACTGGCTCGTATCTAACATCCGTACCTGTGTTGCGTTGTGAGACGGAAATCTAGTCGATATTCGATGGCGCGCGCGAGACCCTCATGTGCCCATTTTCGGTGTGCAATAAACGTCTACCCCCCTGTCTTGTCGTTCTCGCTACAATAGGATAGCCACAGGAAACCTGCGTCTAGTAAAAGACCATGACTAGATTGCGCTGCACCACGCACAACTACATCCAAACGACCCAGATAGGTTGTAAACCAGAAGGAATGAGACCGTGTGATAGATGGATGGGAGTCACATTTCATCAACGGAGCTGGACCACACCCCTACAGCATGCACAACAACATGCCTTTCTTCTATGTAGGAACTCATGCGTATCAGACATACACACGGCGGTGGCTTGGCCATTGTCCGTTTCACACTGGATACATGGAACCACTGTTTCATCCTGGCACGATCACGAGGACCGTGCAACCGGTCTTCTCAACAACCACAAATTGTCTACTGGCAGCAGTATAACCGACATAGCGGTTTTCAACAGACAGGCAGTTTTTTAACATCCACATCAAGTGTAGTCACACTGGGAATATCAAACAACTAACACGGAAAATGAAAGAGAAATAACGTGCAAACTGGAAAGTAAATATGCAAATGGATGATAAAAGTAAGCAAAGCAACAAAGTGCTCCAATCTAAGGACGATCTTGAGTAGAAGCAAATAAGAACTTGTCTATCACTTGCCGTACGGCCGCACTAAATCTCGGCTGCCGCCTCAATCGCTGTGGTCATTCTAGTTCTCCACACACATTCCTGTGCCTACGCTCTTGCGAACCAGGACGAAGGACGTTACACGGTGCTTTGTAATTCTTGGATCTAGCTTGTGTGGATCATACTGTTACTCCAGTTCCCAATTTCGGCACAATCCTCGTCAAGTTCTGCTTCTGAAACTACATCACTCCCGAGATTTTTGAGAATGATTTCGATCTTATTCGGTAGAGGAAGCTGAGGAATCTCAAAAGACCCTGGAACCATCCCTACAGGCAGCAGGATAGCAAAGTACGAGGTTTTTTGTCATTCACTCACTAAACATCGCGTCTGATACGCTTAGGGTAGCTTGCCAAGGCCCCGAGTGCGTTGTGTAACCTGTCTACGCGTGCTTGTGTGCGCACCATTGAATCCCCCTATCTGCGCGCGATTACAAAAGAGAGTGAAGCATTGAGGCAGTCACCTGTCTCGGCCGCTTGATCCTAACGCCGGATCAATGGATCCGGGGTCCTAGGTAGGAGTAACCATCACACGTTCACGTGCCCTGAAGAGCGCTAACAACCGGGCCGCGGTGTCTAAAGGCGCCTGTGGAAAGTGCAATAAAATGGTCAAAAAAGACGTTTTCTGTGGAAATTTCTCAGCCTGTTTTCAAGCGAAATGCCAAAAGATCACACCAAGCGAGCGCAGGCTGATCAGCAGCAGGCCTGACCCATTTTGTATCTTGTGAAGTGTAATACCGTCCTACTAACTAAAAGATAATTGCACTGTCCCAGAATTATGGAAACCTTACAGATGTAGTTGAGAAGATGCTGGACACCATAGCTTTGGTAGAAACAAGCACAGCAGAATATCTGACACGGGCACCAAGCCGAACTCTACAGCAAACCAACTCAACAACGCCAAATGCTACCCTAATAAAGTTGCTCCTGCAAGCACTGCCAATAATTCAAATCTCCCAAGCGTTCGCGAACACGTCACCTTCAGCCCATTTACACCATTTTCCCCTTCAAACCCGTTTCCTTCCACCAAAGATTTCCGAAACCCAGGAAACTTGCAAGTGCCAGTGATGGCTGGGTCGTTGTTGCATCAAAGTGCACTCCGAAGGCAGTTGCTGCTGTTTCTATTATCCCACCCATAACTAATGTGAAAGGCAACGCTACACGGATTCATAGTAAAGCGCTGGGTCTCCTAACTGCGATCCATACTCCCAGGTAAGACACGCAGAGACAGTTAGATACTTTTTCTATAACATGTATTAACCTTCTTGAGTCAACACCGAGTTCTTTCAGGGTGAAACAAGTGGAGGATTTGAACTAATGGAATACCGTAAGTAACCTCCTCGGTAATCCGCATAAACCCTCCAACGTGAAGAAGATCGACCGCCATTTGAATTTCAAACATTATGCTAGAGAAAGGCTTCTTTGGGTTGTACTAAACTCTGTCGATGAGGTGGAAGCAGCGTTGCCTTCGAATGCTCGTCTCCAGAAGGAGACAAGATTTGTCGGCGTCTTTCCAGACTTCCCAGGAGGTAAACGCAAGCGAGCGACGCAGAGCCTAGAAGAGTTCCGGCTAAACATCGCATGCAGAATCGCTTTGGTCGACGGCGTCCCCCAGTTTCACGGGTACGATGAATGCGAAGCAAAGGCACGCGACCAAGAGCAGTGGCGTTACATTCGTGAGACCCTACTCTTGAATGCCTTTGTAACTGATTCATTCTTAAGGTTGCGAAAATCAGAAAGCTACAAAGGGTGCGACACAAGTACAAATGACGTTTTGCCTAAAACTAGGTAGATGGCACTTACGCTAATGGAACGCTGGCATTTACTTTGAAACAGACTGCCAACCGAGCTCCGGTTCAAAGCGGCAAGCAAACTGTTGTTTGAATTAAAGTACCACAACAGCAGGCCAAGGTAGTAGAGTACTTATCAGAAATTCACCTCGGAAGCAGGTCTGAAGCAAGTGAGGATTTTCTGTGCAATCCTGCAGCCACTCCCCATGAATTGTACAAACTGAGTTATCAGTGGAGCTAATCACGATGCTGCGGAATCTAACGCCAAGCGACTCGCTGATAATACCATAAAAGACGGCCAGCGACCGACCATACAACGGTCGGCACAACCTCTCATCCTAGCCTCAAGTATATCGGATCGTTGCTGAGAACCGAAACACTTTCCGGTATGTACATGAATTCTCAAGGTCTCCTCAGCAAAATCGCCTAGCTGCGGTTGCGCCAGGCAACAAAAACTTGTGATCTCATCTCTATAATCGAGACTTGTTCGTACCCAGATCGCGATGGGTTTGTTCCGACACGGTCGTCCAAGCAGGTGAGGTGGTGCTGTCATATACTATCGTAGCAACTTACAATCCGAACCATTGGATGATCCGGAAACGCAGAACACTAATTCGCTTTGGTGCCGTTTGCTTTCTAGACACAACGACAACTGCTCTGTGGCGGTCGTATATCGCTTCCCATCGTCCACTCCAGAGATAGATTCTCACCATCACTGAGGAAATGCTTACTCCCAACTTACAGCCATGCTCTTATTTTCGGAGATTTCAACCTGCACGACTTGGAAACCTCGGCTTCTTCCAAAGAAATATACAAGGCCGAAATGCAGAACCTTAACGCAAGTATGCCGCTTTACAGTCACATCATTTTACTTACCAGGTGCAAAGGGGAGAACAACCCATCGGTAATTGACCTCGTACTTACAACTGAGGAACTCATGGTAGGCAGACCATTTACAGACACCCAACTAGGGTTCAGTGATCACGTCACCATACTTAATAAGTAGGTGTGGTAAGCGTAATATCCCGAAGAACACACAGAACTAACACGTACCATCACATATTACAACTTCCTGAACGATCTAGTTGAGACGACGGTTTGGGAATTCATGAAAGATCAGAAGTTAGTGTAAGTGAACAGATGTTATCGATAATTCATCATCATACTTCTACAGTTATATGCAAATAAAAAGAAAATGGGTAGACATACATTATACCAGTCGTTAGTCTTGGAGCGAGTTAAATACTGACAGTGGCTGCCTGTTAGATTACGACGGTTAACCTTGTGGGTCAGAGGTCATAAGGCGTTTGGACCATGGTCGTCACAACCCTCTAGTTAGATTCTTCTGGAAACACAGCACGAAGTCAGACAGTCGAATCGCAATTTCCTCAGCAGCTCCTAGTATTCTTTTACGCAGGTAGTTCGATCGGTTCGCCGGGGTCTGATAGAGAATTTTTAAAAGTGTCAGTTGCTTTAGTGGTATGCCCTGTGTCAGCGAGGTGCACGGTTATTGAGATGACTAGTTTTCTGATTCTATTAACAAGCCAGGCTGGGTAGTGTTCTATCACTCGCTCGGATAGACGCGTTACTTTTATTATTTATTTTAATAAACTTGCACCATAACTGTTCAGCAGTCTTGCATTAAATTTTACCCTTAAACAGCTGTTGTGTTGCAAACTGTACTAAAAAATGCTTTTAATCGAAGGGCACCTGGAAGAGGTTATGTAAATGATGACGCCACCTCGGCGGTTCCTCTGAGTACATTGGCGGTCAACATGTAGAGAGTTAAACCCGTCTAGTTCCACAATTGTACCCTCAACATCAATGTGAAGCCAGGTTTCCTGCAGCATAATGATGCCCAAAGGAGAATATTCCCGACCTAGTATAATACTTATGAAGTCTTCTAATTTTCCCGGTTGTGATGGAACATTAGCTATGAGTAAAGCAGGTAGGCGCATACTTCCGATATGTTTCTTGCTGAGTGTAACTTTCCATCCTGCACAGTGCTTTTGTGTAGAGTTCTTTGCTTCTTTTTACTTCTTTTTTGTTTCATACTGTTTGAAAAGGAAAAGATGCCCAGTTCACTTGTAGGAAAGCACGCAACATTTTCAAAGTATCGCGAGTGTAAACGATTCGGTCCATAGTCACGGAACAAATCAGTGCTAAATTAAAACAAATGGCTTTGGATTCAGTGCTGAAAAGCTTGTGTGTTAGTAAATCATTTGGATAGGAATTATACAGCACAGTCAACTTTGAAGGCCCCGCCATATATTTGTTTTCAAAACGAACTGCACTGCATTCTGCTACCCGTTGTAAAGATACATTCTGCTTCTCTTCACAGGATATCAAACCGAATCACGAAGCTCACAAACTTATTCCAATCGGTGTCAAATGGGCCACAAACCTAATCGCCCGATGACGTTCCTGATGTTCGTATTGACAGTCCTTCATTCAACCCATCTGTTTTATCCTACTCTTGGAGGTGGGGTTTGCTCATAATATTTTCGTAATGCCCAGCTTTTTATCTATTATTTTTAGTATCTTCGCTTTAAAACATTTGTTTTGATTGAATATGTTCCATTAACCTATATCTATACTTTGAGCGCTAACAAAGGGCAAGTATAGAGAGTATATAAGTACGTCATGTATCTAGATCAGACAGTACGTTAGTGAATCCGTTAAACAAAATAGGATAATATTGTTGAGCTCCTAGGATGTCTCTAAAGGAATTATTAACAGGGATCCTCATTTTGGACAATTAGTAGCAGATGTACTATCTGCAAACAGGTGCACAGACAAACATAGGGGACGGGGTCGATGAATTTCGCATAATTTATTACGCCTACGCTGGTTATGAAATCTGCGTTCAGTTAGAATTTATTGTGTGGCATTTCCTCGCATGTTACTGGGGTGACATTTTTCTACCTCTGTTTGACTATCTATGAATGCAAGCATTCTCGACAGAATACTTTCAGCACAATTTGATTTTATCTAAAGTTATTAATTTGGGTAATTTTTAACCAGTGCTTAAGCGTATAACTTGGCGGCATTCAAAACACCCACCCGTGAATATGGCCTCTTTAGAGAAGACTCTAAGCTTTCCGACAAAATTTAATCCGTTCCATTAAATCACCGTGTGTAGCAGGTACAGGGCAATTAGATTTTCATTATGAACCAATCCCGTTCAGGCGAATATCAACTCTCGCCAATCTGCGTAACCTCAGGTGCGATCACTCAGCCCGATGTGAACGGCAGCCGCCGTGACAACCGACCAACACTAACGACCCTATCCGAGATCACATGACAGATAAAGCAGTGCGCCGTGTTAAATACCCGCTCCCCTGACCTTGACTTGGCCGGTCTCCGGCAGCCAATACCAAACGGCGAGTCAACTACAATTCGCAAACCATGCAGCAGCTGTTCCAAAACAATATCCACAACACATGTGAAACCGAAATTCTGTACAGCGGAAATCTCCAACCGAGCACTGATAATAGGACGGCATGTTCGCACTTTACCAGCCATCACGATCCGAATTGCACTACAGCATCATTAAACCAGATAAAGCAGCATAACGGTCTGCGGAGCCCACTTGGGTGCTGTCCTAAGTGTACGGTAGTTTCCCTTGTAAAACATGTACTAGAATTATCATGAAAGAACGACAGTATAATCGCGGAAACTGAACTAAAATAAATAAATAAATAATGATTTATTCTCGGCAGTGCGACGCACGCCTGCAAAGCCATGAGCATGATAATAGAAACAGGTATGGTCGGTAATGGTACAAAAATGCCATAAGTTAACCAGTAACATGCTGTGTCTGTGTGCCCCATGCTGAGGCTGATATTGCATTCATGATGCTTCTTCACCGCCATTGGGCTAAACCAACTTACACTTAAACTAGGTCTTTTTAAGCTGGCTAAATTCCATCCCACTTTAATTTTTTCGTTCTGCCTACCTAAATAGTCTATTAACTTGCACATGTTTCGTACGCTAATTGCGCTTATGTTCGTTAACTTTATTGCGTTTGTAGAATATTTCGAGTAACTTGTGGACATTTCGTACTTGTCGCTTATTTGTTGATAACCAACTTACTTCATATGCTAATTTAGCGAAGAGTTATGTCCGCATAGCCGTATGCTTTAACATATATATTTTTTGATAATGTTGTTTCAAGTGATCGGCTGTTGCTGGATATCCCCGCTGTGCTTGCGCATGATGTGCATGTTGACAAGGTGCCTAACTGTCTATTACCCACTAACTCGTCCATACTGGTTCCAGGACACAGTTGGTCGTTACTGGATGGGACGGGGTGCACGGTCCTTGTGGCGGTGTTAGGCTCAAAGTGTGGTTCCATGCACTGAGTGTGGAACGGACCAAGGTCCAACCACCGCGTTGTGTGCGGTTGATTCCCCAAATACAGCATGCTTGTGTTTACCTGTGAAGGAGTATGGGCCGGCTCCGTTGATGAAACGTGGCTCCCACACACATGCATCCCGGTCTTATTCCTTCGGGTTTACACTGGATATGGGGTGTGTGGATGGAGCTGTAAGTGATGCAGCGCAACCTACCCGTGGTCCCCCTGTAGGCGCAGGCGTCCTGTGACTGTCCCTGTGCAGGCCGCAGTGAAAGGCAAATCCGAAACCGAATCCGCCAACCATGTAGGTGTGAGTGGACATGGCGAGTGAGTGTGTTAATGGGACCCTGAATTCGTGATGTCGTTGGCTGTGTTCGCCATCGTATGAAGCGAGCAACGTAGCTCTTCAAATTGGATGACATTCTTGAAGCGGAAAGAATCTTTCCGAAAAGGGAGAGAGTGACTTTATTTGGTGGCGAGTCACACGCGCCACATCGCATTGTTATTAAACGGACCTTTGCGGTTTTTATAGGGAGAACGCTTACCAAGCGAACACCCACCTTGTCCTGGATTACTGCCACCGAACTATCAGCTGGAAAGGGATTATCCCAATCCACCCCGGCTGGCACGACGGGGAGATTGGTCGGCTAGTCAGCTTTAAATGTGTAAATGCCAAAATGGTTTGCTGGCGACGACAGTAACAGAGCTTGTAATTCATCCATTTCTCTAAATCACCACATTGAAACCCAGAACAATGGCCAGGCGTTCCCGCGCCATCACATTAACGGATATCTTGGATGCCTCGAACCAACCAGTCATCACGAACGATAGAAATATACTGCGCTCCACCAACACGATCCGCTTGTCCAATGTATTGACTGATGCACCATGGTAAAGCCTACACTTCAGATTAACCGAGAGAAACCGGACTTCTTTAAAGGTCTGTCTACGTATCCAAAGTTGCTGCTCTTTCTTTTCAACTTGGGACTTCAGCGGATTCAATCACTGTGACCACAACTCGTGTCAAATAGCAGGCACAAACTGTAGAGATATCGCAAAAGCCATCCACTATCGCCCCCTCCACTTCACCGAAATGCAAACCGAATTTCGGTGCCTTACTACTCATATGCATCAATGTTCCTGAGACCAAAGCAAACAGCTTAACTGTTAAACCGTCAGATGATCTAAAGCAGTGTAATCTTGCTTGGGAGCGCATCGTTGTTGGGGTCAGGCCGATGAACTTAAGGCGTATCACCAGACATCCAAACACGACGCACTACTGCGAGTCCCGGATTATACGGGATCCACCGAGTATAATGAGGCGGTACTTTTGTCGACAAACCGCCACCGGATGGAAGACGCTTGTTTATGGTTTTTCCGGACGTCCGTGAAGCAAACGACAGGGAGACAAAATAGTTCAATCGGTACAACAGCAGTCGCAGAATAAAAATTTTCGTTTATGCTTCATCTGAGCTATCAGCAGCTGCCAAAGAGGAAGCACGTGCTCCTGGAACAATGGCGGCACATCCCTGTAGCAATCTGTGCTGGTGACGTTGCACTTCAGTTAATTTCTAGGCCACCCGCGTGCCCTCAATACAAAGGCTACGGCTCTAGAATAATAAAACGTGTAGTTCAGTCCCAACGAATAGCGGTGAACTTAACGCCTTGCTGATATAAATTGCGTAACACACTACCCTCAGATATCTGATTAAGATCAGTAATTAGAGAACCACAGTGATCTGACGTCATTGGGGAAATAACATCACCGGAGACTCAGTGTAACCAAAATAACTGGTCAGGAAACCATGTTCTCAGAGCAGCAACCATTGAGAATGGATCGGAAAATTACCGGGACTCACGTTATTCTGTTCACTGACAAACCACTCAAACATGCTTAGGTTCCAACTTTTCATCGTTCGGCATTCATACACTTCATTCATACACTCGTTGTCAAGCACTTCTGCCGTATGTGTGTATATGCACTAATGCTCAGGGCATACTTAGCAAACTTTCTGAACTGCGACTTCGTCAAGGATCAAGGAACGGAGAGATTAACTCACCCCGACACAAGTGACATTAAATTCGCGTTACCAGGCAGGTCCATGGTAAAGGGGGTGGAGCGGCTCAGCACTTCTGCACTGACCTTTCAATTTAAGTTGGTAGAGAGTACGGTCAATACGGTGGAGCGTTCCTCTTTCTGCCGTCTGCGCTCGAGAAGTAAAGAGATTTGCATTGTGGCTGTCGGTTACCGCCCTCCATCTTCTACTCCCGAAATGGACTTCAACCTGGCATCCGCACTGAGATGGGTAGTGAACAAGTGGTACGGCCGTTCTCAGCACTAACGACTTCAACATCCACGCTCCGGTATCCCAACCCACCGCTGGAGAACAGCTGTTAGCGGATCTGCAGGTGATTGTCACCAGTTTTCCACTTTATGGCCAGTCACACCAGATTCAGACCATCCAAACTATACCGGATAGTCACCAACGGAGACCACATGACTGACATGGCTAACCTCGATACTCCTCTAGGCCGCAGTGCACACGCAATCTCGTTCTTCATGCACACCTACTATACGAAATACCTCATGGAGGATACCCTAGCGAAGTGGACCACAATATGGTGCATTCCATTAGATAGACTAGTCGAAACAACTAACCGGAATTTTATAGCCAAACATACACCAGATATTGCCTGGAAAATGGTATGAGCACGTTTAACATCTTGGTTGCTGCTGCATCGGAAATTAAGGCTATCCGTTCGAGCAACGTGGTCCCAGCTGTACGGAGTAGGACACGGAAATGCAAGGCGACTGGAAACCTGGTGGGGCATGTTCACAAAACCGAACACCTAGAAGTGACCTAAACCTTCGTAATATGAAAACGCTGGTTGGGGCGAGTTGGGGACATGGACGGACGAATGTAGTGTGCGAAGGATCTCGGGAAGCAGCATGTATCCAATGATAAGTAAGCTTCCCTTGGGCACGTTGCTGTTGGTAAAAGGTAAGGTGACACTGAACTGTTAACTGCCCGACGGACAATGCCGGCAGAACGTGCTGTTATTTTGGTTAGGATAGTGTAAATTCAGTAGTAGTACTAAATTTGCCTTTGGTGGGGTACCACGGT